TTCATTAGTTGAACATAGGTGCTGCAAATGGTTAACATGGATGCTTTAAATGTTTTGCATTTTTTTTGCTGTTTCCCCCTAATGTAGTACTAATTGCATGGATTTAGTAAGTTCTTTGTTTTGCTATGCATGTTCTACTTTTAACTATAGAAAGGAGAGGTAAAAGTGGCCAACTTTAAAAAAAAGGATTAATTTAACAAACCTAATCCATGCTTAAATTGTCATTTATCTAATTTTTTCACCACAGCAGTAGTTGTGGTCCTTTACGGCTCATCTAAATCCTTCAAAGCAGGCATGCATTAAATATGCTAAAACCAATTGATTTCCTTTTTGTTTGCCAAAAAGTGGAAAGATAATTTACCTTTTAATGCTTTCTACCTTATTTTTTCCATTAATATTAAGAAGCATTGCTAACAACAAGGCAGCAAGAGACGATGGGATCCCAGCTGAACTGTTTAAAATCTTGAAAGATGATGCTGTCAAGGTGATGCATGCCATATGCCAGCAAATATGGAAAACACAAGAATGGCCATCAGACTGGAAAAAATCAACTTATATCCCCATCCCAAAAAAGGGAAATGCTAAAGATTGCTCAAATTTTCATACAGTGGCCCTTATTTCTCATGCCAGTAAGGTAATGCTCAAGATCCTGCAAGGAAGACTCCAGCAATACATGGAGAGAGAGTTGCCAGATGTACAGGCTAGATTTAGAAAAGGCAGAGGAACGAGAGATCAAATTGTCAATATCTGCTGGATAATGGAGAAATGCAGGGAGTTTCAGAAAAACACCTATTTCTGTTTTATTGACTATTCTAAAGCCTTTGACTGTGTGGATCATAATAAATTGTGACAAGTTCTTGGTGGTATGGGCATACCAAATCACCTTATCTCTCTCCTGGGGAATCTGTATAAGGACCAAGTAGCAACAGTAAGAACTGACCATGGAGCAACAGACTGGTTCAAGATTGGGAAAGGTGTATGGCAGGGTTGTATACTCTCACCCAACCTATTCAACTTCTATGCAGAACACATCATGCAATGTGCAGGGCTTGACGAATGCAAGGCTGGGGTAAAAATTGCTGGAAGAAAC